GATAAGCTTTGAAGTAGTGACTGAAGAAGATGGACCTGAATCTTGTGGTCTTTGAGGTAGGGGTGATCAAAAGCCGGCTGATGAGACATGTGAACACAGTCAATTATATCCCCGTCTGGACTCTGTATAGCCATAAAAAATACAAGAGAGATGATGAGGAATCTTGCAGTAATACCCCGAATTGGTCAGCCCAATAAATTACCAAGTCATGCTAGGAGTTAAGTGCATCAGTGAGGTCTTGAGTCCACATGTACATGAAACTACAAGAGAAATCACAGTGCCCACTTGCATTTATGTTTTGCTTGGTTGCTGAGAAAAATGTAAAGTACCAAAAGCAATTAAAATTTGCAGTCTTGAGTAAATTCTTGCTTCTGTTGCTTTCCATCTTGTTTCAATAACTATCCAAAAAGGACGTCATTATACGGAGAGAGAAAGAACGAGAGGAGGAAAATTGTATAAAACATCATTGCTGTTTCAAAACAATATAATTTAAAAAAGAAATCAAGAAATTTGATGGCCATCACAGAACAGAAAAAAAAGGAGATTTAATAAAATAACATTACATTCTTTACCCATTTTTTAGCAATGAGAAAATGCAAGAAACCGAAAGATAATAGTGTAGTAGCTAACCCCATAAATCCACTATTAGGCTCAACTCGAGCTAACTTCTTAAACCATTTAGGCAACCAGAGAGAAAAGAACACAGCTTTAGAAACACATTTTCCTTCACTTTCCCTCACTTTCTCAGTGACCAAACAGAACTTTAAGGAGAGGGGAAAAGGTACCTCAATGCTTTTAACAGCTGGCTTGTTCAAGCGGTTCAAGTGTTTTTGAACCTCAAGTTTCTGTCTTGACACACTCAATCTAGCAGCGCAAGATAGTTGAATCAAACCCCATAAGCAAAAAACCAAAACCAACACTCTGCTTCTGCTGAAATGAGCACCACCACCACAACCACGAGAACCCATCTTCACTAAAAACAAAAGAAACCCAGAAAAGAACCAGAGCAAAACCTCCCTTGTCCTACGCCCCTTTGATGCAGGTTAAAGCATAAGCATAGCAGCAACCACTACTACACTACCGTGTAAGAGATAGAGGATGTGAAGGGAGCTTGAAAGACTCAAACTCTCTAGGTTATCTTCTTCAGCTTCTGCTTATCCTACGCCCCCCCTTAGCTCTCCACTTTACTTTGAAGGGGGTCTCTCCTTGTTGTGCTCTGTTTCCAACAAAAAAGAAATCCAATTAAACTCAGCCCACACCTCTCTCTAAGGAAAAAAAAAAAAAAAAAAGCTTTCTTTTTTAATCTCTCTCTTAAAAAACTCTCGCCTTTTTTGTCTCTCTCTCTCTCTCCCCTGTTATTCATTAAAAAACTCTGTCCCTTTTCCCTCTCCCGTTAACAAATATAGAATTTATTTATTTTTATATTTTAAAAATATTTTTATAAAATTTTAAATTTTTTTATTTTATACTTTAAATTAATATATTTTTAATATTTTTAGATTATTTTAATATATTAATATCAAAAATATTTTTTAAAAAATAAAAAATATTATTTTAATATATTTTTAAATAAAAAATATTTTAAAAATAACTACAAAAATACTCGTAAGCTTAAACCCCACTTGGCTTTCCAATTTCCACCAGTGGTCCATACTGAGGAAGAAGGTATTTTTTTAGTTTTCTTGACTTGTTCTTCGTGCTTATTTTCTAATTGAAGAGCGAGGGGCAAGATAGGGGTTATACAGGATTTGGTGGGGGTGGCGGTGGAAAAAAGGGGACAATGAGGTTCCTTTGTCTTTTTGAAAAGCCTGCTTTTCGGGACTCCCCTTTTTGATTCCCCATTTTGCCCTACTTTTTGTTCGAAATTGATCCCCCACCACTGACGAATTTCTTCAAGTATATCGAATCGATTTCTGTTTAGTTGATATGGAGAAAGGACAACGTTAATTATCTCCCTCTTCTTTCTTGAAAGACCACTTTTTGAAGTTGACGCGGTTGGTTGATCGTAATAACAAACAGTTTTTCGAGGGTATGTGATATTGTAATCTTTTGGAAATTAAAGTTCTTATTGCAATTTAAAATAAAATTTAATCTCCACTGGCTGGAGTGGAGATGGATGGTATTCAAGGGAAGTAAGATATGGCGACGGAAGACATGCCTCCGTCCAATTAAGGGAGGAGGGAGGGGGGGGTTAATTAGTTCGTTGAGCGGTCAATGTATTGTTGGTTAGGCTGGAGAAAGAAAGTCTCAATTTTTCCCCTCGGCACTCCATGGCAGCGGGGAACCCAGTGGCCTTGCTGTGATTTTACAATCATGAATCTAATGATTTTTCATGTGGAAAACAATGGTAACGTATAATTTATTCGGTGGTATAGCTTTATGGCAGGAGAAAGCAACTCCGATGCAAATGTTACCGCAGTTATTAGTGGCGTGATTGAGATTTGGGGAGGGGAGCACTCACTTGATCATGGTTGTAATCTCATCTCTCTCATTAACTGCGTCTGTTCGGTATAATTTATGCACTAGATGGTTTTTTTTCGTTTGTTTTCTACAAAGCAATTCTCAATCTAAAGGGCATTCTACACCACCTTAACAAACACCCAGTCCAGGCGGGGGAGTCACTTGGACGGTGTTTTGTTACTGCTTTGGGACGGAGGAGATAAAAATAACAGGGATGGAAAAGACATGTTACATGTCATCTTGTTATATAAAAATTTACCGTGTAAAATTATCATGAAAAAAATTTATTTTATCCTATTTGTTTTTTAAATATATTTTTTAAATTATTTATTTTTCGTGTTGTTGTATAGATTTCAAATGCTTATATGTAAAAAATATTATTAAAATAAAAAAAACTTTGAAAATGGGAGTTCTCTTGCTCCTAGATACTGATTGTTTTGTCTCTGTACGTCCTATCTTGAAATACTGATTAAAAGCGGCATTGTTCTCGTACATAACATTCCGTATATTTAACCATTATCCAACGGAGTCCAATAAGGAGAGGGGGGGGGGGGGGGGGGGGGAGATACTCCAAGGCATTTTTATTGCGGACAATAATACATCCGAGAGAGGAGAATCGTTTGCAGACGCCTTGGAATGGTGTCCCATCCACGTTCGTATCCTCGACAGGGATTCTTCTTTTCTTATCACAATGTTGATTTCTCTGTGATACATAAAACAAACCACGCCATGGCCTGCGCCGTCCATGTCAAGTTTTATAAGGGGATAGTGGCCTTCGAGCTCTAGAAAAAAACCCACCAAACGCACTAGAACAAAAGGAGTTAGGATTCGACATTATAAAAAAGATGTTGATGTTCTAGTGGCTCCGAAGAACACCTTGTAAAAACATGGTCATTGTTGTTTTCATTCCCAGAAAAATTGCAAGAGCGTGGCTTTCAGGCAACCCCACTCTTAAATACACTGTTTGATGATCGGGAATAGTGCAGAAAGATGGTTAATTTTTTTAAAAAATCTTTTATATATCTTCCACTAGAATAATATCTATTTAACACAACTAAATCATTTAAACCTCATAAAAAAATATAAAAAAAATATTAGCATTTTATATGCCTTTTTCACGTGTGATAACAAGTTTATATACACTTTAAACATTACAGTGAAATAACATGACTATTAATATTATGATTATTAATTAAATAATTATATTCTCAATTAAACTAACGAGTGCTATATAATTCTATCCCAATAATCATAAATATTAAAATTAATTAAGAAAATTAAAAGAATAAAATTTTAAAAGAATTAATCTCATTGACATGTTAAATTCCAAGCGTCAACTCCATCTTTTTTTATACTATAAATATACATATACTAACATTAAAAAACCCTATTAAAGGTATCTGTTTATATATTATGATTTTCACTTTATTTATTATACAATAAAACACCATACTTGTAAACACACCTGAAAGAGTATTTCTTTACAGTATGTCATGGAAATCTTTTATTTATTTATTCATGTACAAACGACACAGACACCCAGAATCCCACCAACAAATTTGAGTTCAAATTTCAGCACTCGTGAATGCAATATCGACCCCTCGATTTACATTTCCCAGGCATCAAAACACAAAACAAGGCATTGCCAGTAGCCTAACTAGTTTGAGCGTCAAAACACAAAACAAGGCATTGTTGATTGTCCCTATAGTTTCGGCCTTGGGACGCTGAAAATTGGCTGGTTGCAGATTATAAATATGTTGTTTTTGCTTTTTATTAAAAAAAATTACAAATCATTTTCTTGTTTTCATATTGTTTTATTGTATTTATGTTGTAAATAATTTAAAAAAAAACAACAATAACTAGAAGATATATACACACACACACATAGCCACAATGGGAATTAATGGGACAATTGTCCCCTTAATTATTTTTTTTAAAAAAATTATATTTAAATTTTAATATAATAATTTAACAAGCTTTTCTTCTTCCTTTTTTTATGAATCATTGTTCCTAGCTCCTTTTCTTCTACATTTTTTTAAGTTATAAACCATTAATTAGTCAAGTAAGTAATCTTTTATACTTTATATTTAATGTTTTAGGTGAGTCTTTTTATTTTATTGTTTAATTTTAATTTTATTTCTTAATATATGATAATTTATAGATTTGTTAAATTAATATGTGTGCGTATAATATATATATATATATATATTGAAATGAATTTTAATTAATTAATATATATTTTGTTATGAATTTTACATGAAAAATAATAATAATCAACATACTAGTGATTAAAAATAAAATATTGAACAACTAAAAAATCAGGGATACAATAAAAAATTAAAAAAATATATTAATATTTATATTTAACCCACTTATATAAAAAAACAAATTAACAAAGAATTATTGCTAATAATTTTACCGGTCCTGAAAGATTTAGAAATAGATGAATGAAACTTTCATTGTATACACTGAGAAAAAATATATTTTATAAAATTAATAATAAAATTATTATTAAGTAATTTTAAAATATAAATACTTGAAAAAATAATTACAGTGTAAAATTTTTTATTTTAAAAATATTTTTAAATTAATTTAAATTAATTTTGATTGATATAAATTAATACATAAATTTTAAATTGATTTTTTTATATATAACACATATCTATATAATATATAATATTAAATATTTATAATCTGTCTCTTTATTTTAAATTTTCTAGCTCTGTAATTGTGTGTGTGTGTGTGTGTGTATATAAAAGCTCAGTGTACACCAATTGAAGCATCCAATCAAGCTCGCATGCATGCATGGATTTTAAATTCTTAAGGCTTAGGAGATTTAGGATATCGAGAGATCATCTCGTGTCCTGCACGTTCATATTTCAGTGCGTGTATATATATATATATATATATATATATGTACATATCATGCTCTCATCGTTTACACGTATCGGATTGCGTTTCTCTTCATTTGAAACCACACATAAAAAAAAAGAAAAACATGATTTTCATGTTTTTATTCAGTGGATCGTGCTAACAAACATCCACTGCAAATCTATTTGTTATTACAGTATGATTGGGTTTTTTAAAAAATTATTTTTTATTTCAAATTAATTTATTTTAAGTATTTTTTATGGTTTTGATATGCTTATATAAAAATAATTTTTTTTAAAAAATATTATTTTAATATATTTTTAAATAAAAAATAAACAACAACCTGTGTTTTTTTTTCTTTTTTTTTTTTTTCCCGATCATAAAATCTCATTTAAGGAATAAGACATGGAATCCAACTTTCGGGGAGTAGTGGTAATTAATCCCATGCATGAGGCAAATGGGGCAAGACAAGGGATTGATTGCACCTGACCATGCTAGAATCAGTGGGCACTCACCTTCTACCTTTTGCTGGCTCCCCTCCTCCAGTGCCAGTCCTGTGAGGTGAGCTGATGTGACGTGTTGTGTTGTGTTTTTACCCTTTTACTATTCCACTCCGAAATTTTATTAAGCTTTTATCTTTCAAAAATGATTTTGAAATAGTTTTTTATTTTTTCAAATTATTTAGATATATATTATTTTAAAATAAAAAATATTTTGAAAAAAATCACACTGAGTACCTGTTTTGATGTGCTTATTTTAAAAATAAAAAATATTATTTTAATACATCTTTAAATAAAATACATTGTAAAAACAAATAAACATTAAATTGACAGTGTTTTGTTTATTTGTTTTTAAAGATTAATAGATAAAGATGAATAGGCATATTGTGGCGCTGCCACCTCCATTTTCGCACCCAACGGATAAATATTTGAATGGGAGGTAATTTTTAAATGATAACAGTGAAGATGGCAATTTATGGTCATTGGAGAGACCAAACAGAGATTCTTCTTCCCAAGGAAAGGGCCCTCTCTGCCTTCAGCCTCTCGTTTTCTCCCCACCAAGGCAGTGGCCGAGGCAGTGCAGTAGCTCTTATGTCCTCTTTGACGCCTTCACTTCCCTCACGCGCCCCTCATTTTTTACTACACAATCGCCACGCGTTATATCATATAGCTCTTTATTTTTTTATTTCAGAAATATTTTTGACAAAATTAAATATTTTTTTATTCATTTTTTAATTTATTTGATATTAAAAATAAATTTACAAATAGTATTTTAATATGTTTTTAAATAAAAAAATATCTTTAAAAACAATATTACCACAATATTAAAATTATAAAAACCATGTCAATTTCAACGTTGTATCACAAGGACAGGAGTGAATAAAAAAATAAATTAAATTGAAAAAATAAATTAATTAAATCATAAGAAAAACTAACTAAATTGATTAAAATTTTAAAACAGTTGGTTAGGTTGATTTTGATTTTATAAATTTAAAATTAAAAAAATCAAACTAAACTAAAATAAAAAAAAATGAAAAAATCGAGTCAGAGTGAAAAATAAATCAAACCAAAAAATGAGCCAAATAAAAAAATATAAGCCAGAAATAATTTGTATTATTTTTGTCTAAAAAATCAAACCAAATCGAGATCAATATATTTGAACTGGTTTCGATTAAAAAATAATTTAATAATTTTTTTAATAAAAATCAAACTGAACAAAAAAAATCATTTTCAAAGTTCATGGTTTAAAGTGCATGTTTGGCAACGTACTAATTTTTATTGTTGGAAGTAATATATATTTTAATAATTTTTAAAAATATAAAAATATTATTTTATATATTTTTAAAAACTGAGCCAGGAATGATTTGAATTATTTTTATTTAAAAAATTAAATCAAATTAAAATTGGTTGATTTAAACTAGTTTCAATTAAAAAATAATTTGATTATTTTTTTAATAAAAATTAAACTAAATAAAAAATAATTACCTTAAAAATTCATGTTCTAAAGTGCATGTTTGGCAACCTACTAAATTTTATTGATGAAAGTGTTTCTTGTATATTTAATATTTTTTAATAATTTTTAAAAATATAAAAATATTATTTTATATATTTTAAATTAAAAATATATTTGAATAACAATATCCACGCATTATTATGTACACATTGAGAACTCAAACCTTTAAATGTATAAAAGCTCAGTGTACACCAATTGAAGCATCCAATCAAGCTCGCATGCATGCATGGATTTTAAATTCTCAAGGCTTAGGAGATTTAGGATATCGAGAGATCATCTCGTGTCCTGCACGTTCATATTTCAGTGCGTGTAATATATATATATGTACATATCATGCTCTCATCGTTTACACGTATCGGATTGCGTTTCTCTTCATTTGAAACCACACATAAAAAAAAAGAAAAACATGATTTTCATGTTTTTATTCAGTGGATAGTGCTAACAAACATCCACTGCAAATCTATTTGTTATTACAGTATGATTGGGTTTTTTTAAAAAAATATTTTTTATTTCAAATTAATTTATTTTAAGTAATTTTTTGATATGTTCATATAAAAATAATTTTTAAAAAAAAATATTATTTTAATATATTTTTAAACAAAAAATAAACAACAACAGCATTCGTATCTATTCGAACCTGTGCTCTTTTTTTTTCCCGATCATAAAATCTCATTTAAGGAATAAGACATGGAATCCAACTTTCGGGGAGTAGTGGTAATTAATCCCATGCATGAGGCAAATGGGGCAAGACAAGGGATTGATTGCACCTGACCATGCTAGAATCAGGGGGCACTCACCTTCGACCTTTTGCTGGCTCCCCTCCTCCAGTGCCAGTCCTGTGAGGTGAGCTGATGTGACGTGTTGTGTTGTGTTTTTACCCTTTTACTATTCCACTCCGAAATTTTATTAAGCTTTTATCTTTCAAAAATGATTTTGAAATAGTTTTTTTATTTTTTCAAATTATGTAGATATATATTATTTTAATGTATTTTAAAATAAAAAATATTTTGAAAAATCACACTAAGTACCTGTTTTGACGTGCTTATTTTAAAAATAAAAAATATTACTTTAATACATCTTTAAATAAAATACATTTTAAAAAATAAAACAAATAGACATTAAATTGATAAAGATGAATAGGCATATTGTGGCGCTGCCACCTCCATTTTCGCACCCAACGGATAAATATTTGAATGGGAGGTAATTTTTAAATGATAACAGTGAAGATGGCAATTTATGGTCATTGGAGAGACCAAACAGAGATTCTTCTTCCCAAGGAAAGGGCCCTCTCTGCCTTCAGCCTCTCGTTTTCTCCCCACCAAGGCAGTGGCCGAGGCAGTGCAGTAGCTCTTATGTCCTCTTTGACGCCTTCACTTCCCTCACGCGCCCCTCATTTTTTACTACACAATCGCCACGCGTTATATCATATAGCTCTTTATTTTTTTATTTCAGAAATATTTTTGACAAAATTAAATATTTTTTTATTCATTTTTTAATTTATTTGATATTAAAAATAAATTTACAAATAGTATTTTAATATATTTTTCAATAAAAAAAATATCTTAAAAAACAATATTACCACAACACTAAAATTATAAAAGTTATAAAAACCATGTAAATTTCAACGCTATATCACGGAGATAGGAGTGAATTAAAAAATAAAAAAGTAAATTGAATTGAAAAATTAAATAAATTAAATTATAAGAAAAACCAACTAAATTAATTAAAATTTTAAAATAGTTGATCTGTTTGGTTTTGATTTTATAAATTTAAAATTAAAAAAATTAAACCAAACTAAAATAAAAAAACTGAAAAAACCAAGTCAAACAAAAAAATAAACCAAATAAAAAAAAAGTCTGAAATGATTTGAATCATTTTTATCTAAAAAATCAAATCAAACTGAAACCAGTTTGAACTGGTTTTAATTAAAAAATAATTTGATTATTTTTTTAATAAAAATCAAACTAAACAAAAAAAAATCATCTTCAAAGTTCATGGTTTAAAATGCATGTTTGGCAACGTTAATATTCAAATTTATTAAAAACATTCGGTCCGAGTTGAGTTTGGGATCAGCAAATAACCGGGTCGACTATACATCATAGTACACAAACGAAGTGACGTGTACCGAGAAATCAAGCGCGGAGGCCGTAGAACGTGTGGCAGCAACAGGATCCGTACACGTGTAACAGACTCGTGCGAGGAGAGTTGAAGATTGAAAAATCAGGCGCCCGTGAGTAAACGGCACACGTCACGAGGAAACCGGGGCAGAAATGGAATGAAATACAAGAAGAGGATTGAGTGCTGGAGGTGAAGGGACGCAAGAAAAGAGAATCCGATGGGAAAACGGTGACCAAGTCATCATCAAGCAACCGTACCAACCAGTATTTATTGTTATTAAACACTAAATTATGACTTTATCAACTAATTGTCGTAATTGAACAACCGGCAAAGGTTGCGAGAATGGTAGAAGATGAAGGTTTTGATCACTCGAATCTACGATGAGATTATATAAATGATTGCTCTAATAAACTACTGGTAAATGTTCAAATTAGATCGGGCAAGTGATTGCTACTTGCAATTTTCATTAGCAAAGTTACTGCATTGCTTATCAACTGTCAGATCTTCCATGATTAGAAATATAAGTTAGTATTTAAGCTAATTTTATTATTTTACGGAGTTTTTTTCATATTTATTACTTTTATTTTGAGTTTTAACTCAGTTCCTTTAATGTTTTTAGATTTGGTTATTATGACTTATCTAAAGATTTTGCTCACCTCTTGAATATTGTAAATATATTTAAATGGAAGATAACAAGATTGTGAATTTAAATTTACATCTTCAATCCCTACTATTTATTAAAATTTTTATGTTTTTTATACTAGCATTGTCATAGTAGTTCTCGTCAGCATTGTTAGCTTTTATTTTGTTAATATTATTTTTAAAAATAATTTTTAGTTAAAATATATCATTTTAAAAAGAAAATAGTCGACTCGTTTTGGTTTTCCTATAAGCCCAGAACCCGGGTTGGTAACTGGATGAAAATTTATAATTATGATAATTCGAACCATTAATTCAACCAAGGGAATAGTAATTAGACCACGGGGTCATTGTAAAACGTGGGCATCCGTGGTTGGATCAAGCGGTTATTAATAGCATGCTACCGATTATCATACCACATTTAAAAGTTGTCAAAGCTCTTCAAATATTGCTACTCAACCACAGGATTCGTAAGACGTGTCAATAAATCCATTATCTCGACGTCTGGAATATTTTAAATAAAATAAAATTAATATTGCTCGTGAGGGAATAAAACATTTGAAGGAGGAGGTTGATGCCACGAGTCGCTCAAGAACAGACAGCGGAACCCGTAGCCTTTGTGTGATGTGTTGGAATATTACTATTTTTTCCAGGACGGTCCGATGGAAAGAGATTATACCCTTTAAAGTGAGAATACGATACCCTCAATGCATGATTTTTTCAAATATCTTATTCTCTGAAAAAAAATATGTTTAACTCTCAGAATATATCCAAGTTTTTAAACAAAAATTAAGAAATAAAATCATTGATTAAATCTCGTCCGAGTGGGTAGATAACAAAAAAAAAAAAAAGGAATTATTTTTTATGCAGGTGCTGATGATGCAATTTACACGGGGTAGACGAACCAACCCTTGTCTTGTACAGCTGTACACACACGAGTGAAACACGTGCACGCATACATACATGTGTATGGCTGCGTCTTTCTTCTGTCTGCTTGCATCACTGGTCCATGGAGTGGATGGGCCCCGGCGAGTGTGTGTCAGGGACGGTTTTGCATCCCTGTCAGTAGTTACATGACTCTTTTGTTCATTTCCATGACATGGCACGTGGTCATCCCTGCACGCATCATCATCATCTCTTTGATTTGTGTATGATTCCGGCCCCACTCCCTCCGCAATTACATGTGTGTGGCTGGGGCCCCTCTACAAAGTTCATTTATGTTGCCTCCCTCTTCTCCCCTGTATAAATCAGCGCTCCTTAACAAATAATAGAGCTCAATTCGCCAATAATATTGTTGTTCTGAAACAATAAAAACATGTTTAAATGTATTTTTTATTTTAAAAACACAAAAATTCACAGTGAAATAAGTTAGAATAATCAGAGGAGATGTCGATCGCTATTGCGGGTTTAGTTGCCAAATCACAACCCATCTAAACAGCCAATGCTGCCATCACATGACCCTTCGAGGCTTGTTCTTATTTGAAATAATTAAATAAATTTGGACATGTTGTTGCTTCCCTTTGGTCCGTTAGGTTTTTTCGAATTTGTCTTTGCACGTTTTTTTAACAGTTAAAATACATATATAATCCCTGACTGGCAAAAAATAAGGCTGCTTGGGAGGGCATTTCAGTCTTTGCGAACTAGCTCTCTGTAATATTCATATGCTTTGGTCCTGTTTATTAATTTTTATTTTTAAAATATATCCCGTGAAAGATACCCTTGAAAGCATGCTATAAGATTTAAATTGTTAAGGGCAACACAATAACTTTATTGTAGAAATATACAGTAATACATGAGCGTGTCCATGTTGAAGCAATTAATTCTTTTATAAGATAATTTAAGTTTTATTTATATCTGATTTCGAATTCTCTTCTATAGCTACTTTGAACAGGGGTTTTTTTTCCTTCTATTTTGGGTGATTTGAAAGTAGTTTTTTTAATATATATATATATTGAGTGCAGATAATAATGTAAATTATGCTTAAAAAATATTCCAAATGCTTATAAAGGTCAAGGAATCATTGTAATTTATGATAAATACAAAAGGGCTTGGACTCTCTTTAAGTTCTTGTTTTCCCCTCTTGATTCTGTCCGATACATTGAATATTATTTGATATCTGCCCTTATAATTTGGGCATTGATAGGGTCATAATCCAAGGCTTAAATCTTTAAGTGGCAGCACACAAAAGAGAACTCAGCAAAAGCTTCGGCACCCAGCGCCCCACGAAGCAGAAAGCTGGAAAGCTAGCTCAGTGGGAAAAGGCAGCCCTCCCTGGATATAACTTCAAAAAAAAAAAAAAACAAAGGTGAGGCGTCAAAGATGCCTTTCTCAAGATGGGTCAATGCATATATTTACATGTAGAAACACGGAAATGAGGTGGAGCCAATGGCCTTTTTTTCTTCTTTTGCTGTCCATGATTGTGCTATCTTCTCTTTAGAAAAAAAAATAAAAAAATACTAGCAGTGCTTCAGTAGTCAGCTCTTAGCCTGTGCGGAGGGCATTGATGTTCCCTCTTATTGAATAATAAAATTCAAGGCCCCACATTAATCTGACACATGTGCCGTGATTGGTGTTTGGGGTCGCCACTCCTAGTTGTTCTCCAATATTTGCTTGAATAATTGGCCCATATTGTTGATTTTCTGTGTAAAATAAAACCGGGTGTTTCACCTTTCTTCCTACCGCATGAACAAAGGGTTGGTCCAGTGGTAAATCACCTACTCTCTCTTGTGGCCGAGACACGGGTTTTTGCTTGTGATAACTTTAAATACTGTGATCAGGAGCACGCTTGAGAAAGCGGGTGTGGCTGCGATGCAGTTCATATTTTGATGCTTTTAGTTTGGTAATTAACGTGAATTGCACCATAACTGATTTTGAAGCTTTTGGTTTGGTACCTTGCGTTCGCAAATGGAATGTCACGCTGGAAGCTTAGAAGGGCTTGCATGCTTCTCATTTCTAGCAGCAAAAAGAAAAAAAGTTGTTCCATACCACACGTCATTTCCCTAATCTATCATTTGTCAATAACGGCTACCAAAATCTGGCTGTTTTATAGTTGAGGGTATACAATGTGCTCGTTGTAATTTCTCGTAACACTTTCATGTAGATAATTTATGTTTTGCCATTAAGTTTTTCATTCTCTAAACCAAATGGAATGTGTGGCATGTAGGATAATACTAGCTTGTTCATGTTTTCCAGTCTACGGCTCTGCTGATGTTTATCTGCTGTATTTACCTGTACTGGGAATTTTGGCACAAAACTCATGAGATGATACCTAATGATAAGGGCTTTTGGGTGGAGTTTGCTGTTAAGGTTGATTTGAGTGATGATCCATGGAAGCTAGAGTGCGTACGATTCCTCTAAACCTCCCAAGTCAACAACCAGCACCATCTTCAACGCAATATCTAATTTAGCATCCAAAGATTGACTAACTACTTTTGTCCATTCTGTAATGCTTTTCCCAGCTTACGCAATTTAAGCAGGAAGGGGAGGAACATAGACAAGCAATTGGACACCCATCATAATTAGCTTTGGATCATCTGTGGAAATTACGCCAGGCGAGAACAAAATGCCTGCGCACAGTGTCCTAAACTCTGTCCCCATACAGTTCTTCCATGACTTCAAATTGTCAAAATATTCCTATCAGAATACCACATGGATGAAAAAGATAACAATTTGCAGCTATAATTGTTAAAATATTTCAATCACGCACAAAGCATCACAAACATGACTTTCTTCAAGAGATAATGGAGTATGTACGGAAAAGAAAAGCAATGATAATGAAGGTGAATCTGCTTTAGAGCATGGTTAGCGATTACAATCAAAGAAATAAAAAGAAGCTGAAACAGCATGAAAGTAAAACGTAACAAACGAGCATCATTTTGGTTCCAGCAATGCCAGAGAAGGAAGGTGCAACAGGTATTTAGCAAAATCCTAATGAAATCACATTACATGAGAGTGACAAGGGAATTGCAACAGAATTTAGTTTTATGTATTAGCATAGCATGAACTGCTTGCTATTCCTGAAGAACTTTATAATGAAGAAGTTTAATGGCATTCCAGCAGGCAACAGCATTAGGGGACTTCAAAGAGCAACAGCAGAAATGCAAAATATATTATATAAATGGTAATATGATATCCAGAAAACAAGACTTTCGACATCTAAACTGCAAAACAATGAGATAAATGTAAGAAAAATATGCTGAGAAATAGAAAATTTAACCACATGTAGTCGACACTAGTCTTCGAAGAGAATGTCATCAGGTGTACAATGACTTATCCATGGACAAAATTCACACGGGATGGAAGCTTATGCCTCTGTCTCTGCTTTTGGTTTCCCTTCAAGACCCTCCTTGCTAATGCATTTACAGCAAACTTTATCAATAGGAATAGAAGCAAACTCAGCCATTCCATTACTCTTCACTTCCATGATCGCATAGTCCAAAACCAAAGTCCTCACAATCCCTTCAATATGCTGTTTTGTCACGTCAACATCTGAGTCTTGACAACTGTTGATCAAGCCTGCAACTTCCTCTGTGGCCACCTTCAGCGTTTTTATTTGGTTTGTACAATACGGTTTTAGTGACTTAATAAACTCTGTATCGAGGCTCCTTTCAACATACCATGCCCCTCCAATGATTTCCTTCGAGGGCTAAACTCTGTTGCCATGAAATGTAACCTCACCTTGTTCTGGATGTTCACTACCTTTTAAATCAAAATTCTGACCTGCGGAGGAGTTTTATTTACCACACTATCTTAGAAGGCCGACTTCTTTTTTCATGTCTCTGGTCCAGATTCAAATGTTTGCTTCAGATCACATCATACATGATACATTTGAGGTTCAGTTAGATACCAAGCTGGAGAATTCAATTCTAGCCATTTTCTCTCAAAGTCTCAAGGGATGGAGGTCCTCGTAAACTGCTCATTCTTACTGAAAGAACATCAAAACTGAACTTTATATGTGATATATCAAAAGTGAAGCAGTTTATACAGGATTTTAAAGCATGAAGTTCCAATTTTATGTTAGGGTCACAGATATGATAGACATCATGTATGCTGCTATTGGTGGCCGAGAATGCGCTATCATAAATTTGAAGAGAGCGAAGGTACAGTTACTCTACACGCAAAAGTATCTCATAAGATCTATACATTCATGCCAAACTAACCAAATAAGTGCTAATTTTTCAATCTCAATGTATTCGGGTCATCAATGATATGAGAAAGGGGCACTGATAACGATGATATTATGATTTCATGGATATTACTATATCTAGTTACACTGCAGACATAACTTGTCTTGCAACTTCCTTGGTGGCTGGGAAAGAAACATTTTATGTTACTTGCTCATTGACGGAACCCAGTCACAAATCTTTGGATACCAGCAAAATCAGACACAATGTTCAAATTACAAAAGCTTCCTGCAATGTCATTTTGCATGTAATCTACAAGAAACTTGCATTGCTTCTCCCCGTTGGTTTCAAAAGCAAAAAATCCGCCAGGTTTCAACATTGCAGCAGCCCCACTGCAAAGATGAAGAAGATAATCTATGCCACTTGCACCACCATCTAACGCAAGTCTTGGTTCATGTCTACCAACTTCAGCTTGTAGTCCAGAGATATTGTCACTAGGTATGTATGGTGGATTACTCACAATACCTACAAGTTGTCCTTCAACATCCTTTAACGGCTCAAACCAATATCCTTGCCTTACTTCAGTCACATGCTGAAGGCCATACCTTTGCACATTAAACATTGCCACTGAAACTGCGACTGGGCTTAAATCTGTGGCAATAACTCTCCCATAACTCCTCGAAATCTTGCTAATACCTATAGCAATAGCACCGCTACCAGTACCTACATCTGCCCACAACCCTTGTCCCAATTCTTCATTATTGGAAACCGCATCGCTCACTAGATCAACAATCAATTCTGTCTCTGGCCTTGGAATCAACACCCCTTCTTGCACGCTCAGCACCAAGTCCCTCCAGTGCTCACACCCTACTATATACTGGAAAGGCCTCCTCTCTTCAATCCTCTGCTTCCATAACTGGTAAAGATCATCCAAACTTATTCTTAACATGACATTCTCAATTCCATCTAAACTATCATAATTACAAGCGGCAAAGGAAAAGCATGAGGAGGAGGAGCGGTTTTCAAGTGAGTCCTCTAGGAGCCAATTTAGCTCCCGGCACAGAAGAGTGGAGTCAGGGCCATCATCAGACTCCACAAAAGACGACCCAACGGAGGAGGCAAGGCTTTTTGCCCATCCATGCCATTTTTGAAGGTCTGATGAAGCTACTGAATAAGTGGGCGGCCTCAAAAAGAGAGGAATTTTTGGTTTAATTGTTGTTAAAGATGGGATTGAAGAAGAGAAAATCGATGCAGAACAGCTGCTATAAAAACATGCTCGGCTCAGGCCTAGCTTCATCTCTCTTCCTCAATGTAATCACCTGTCAAAAGCATATTCTGACAGATTAAAATTATTGGTGAACATTTTGTTTCCTCAAGCACTGGATTATTCATTTGCATTGGATATTTGTTTATTCTCTATCAACTTCATTCAAGCCTTTTGTTTTTGTATATATGGTAACAAGGGTACAAATTATTTTGCAATAGTGTTCTTGGATTGAAAAAGCATCAATCTGATGCTTTCAGCGGGAGCAGGCACTTTCAAACGCATTACCAAACATGCACTTACTAATTAGTGATCAAAAGCTTTGTTATCAATACAAAAGAGAAAAGGAACTTATAGACGAAAACCAATTTATAAAGATAAAGATTTAAGCTTTAACCACACAATTAATTGCTTTTAGTCAGACAAAGAAAACCCAGATTGGGTTTTCAATGAAACAATCCTTATGTATATGAAAAATCTAAAAATCTCAAACCTTTGATTAGATTGGAGTTAGTTCATAAGCTTTGCACCACACACACACACACGCACTTTTGTGCTTCAAAAGGCAAAGTCTAACTTTAGACATGAGTTAAGGAAAAAGAAAGGAGTAGCAACAATACTCACCACATGAGACAGCCGACGCAGAAGGCCGGACGGCGGAGCTCGGAGCAGGGGCAGAAAGAGGCACCGCTCAGTTTGGTGATTGCCTACGCAAAGGCCAGAGAGATATCGCTGGATGAGAGTGTTGAAAACGCTTCGTTTTACTTAAAAAGGGTTTTTTTAGATCAAATCCATTTTATTTTGGGGAGATCTCAATTTAGTACCTGACCTATATATTTACACAATTGAGTCCTAACCTCGCATATCTTATCATTTGGATCCTAGGCATTTCCTCAATTTCTCAACCGAATCCTTTTGTCAATTTCCCTAAGCATTTCTTATTTCCCCTCAATTTTCGTCTAAAAATAGCAATGCATGTTCAATACTCAAAAAAACACTTAGAAGCTAAGAAAAACTATAAAAAAAATAAAAAAAGAAATAGAATATCTAATCGTCGATGGTAATGTCAAATTTTTGGGAACTAGAAGGGTAACAATGAAAAATTTTAAACATAAGGACAAAAGTGAATCATGGATGATTCTATAGGGAAAAAATGAAGTTTACACCAAAAAACCACGCAAGGCTCAAGCTTTGATTATGAATCACAAAGTTGATCAAAAAATACATATATATTAAAATGAACTAATACCATATTATTTTGACAATATTTTTCAAGTAAACAAATTAATGATGAGAATAAATTTAGGTTGGTTTTTTTTTAATCTTTTTTTTTTCTATTCAAATTGGTTTAGATTCAGATATACCGACCGATTCTAGTTATAAAACAGTGGTTTGAGGTTGAGTAGTTCTTCAATCTTTGTTGCTAGTAGTACATATAGTAATTACTGATCTTCCACATTCATATGAAATCATTACAGACAGAGTGCGTGGGTTGAGCAGTGATTCTTAATTTGTGGAGTGCAATGCTCTTGCTGTTTCTCTAAGCCATATGGATTATGGAAGAGAGAGCAATTGCAATGGCAAGTGACAAGTTCCTTCCCTTCTCAAGAGAGCATGTTTTCCATTTGAATAGCACACGAAGGAGCAGCGCAACTTGCTTTAACTGCACTTGCAAACTGTTCATGAATTCAAACGAGAGAATCCAGTTTGTAGCATGGTTTAATCATAAACTGTTATGAACAATAAAATGAAGCTTATACAACACCAAATTCATGTAAAACCCAAAACAACAGCATTCCTTTGGTCTGAACAATCCAAGAGTGGGAAGAATTGCAGTTCTAAACAAGATGTCTGCTTGACAATTCTCATCAAAATCCCAATTTCCCAATGAAATCTTGGAGCCATCTACTCAAAATCATCGTCAGAATCATGTTTCACCCACCATATCGAAATCCTACAATGATTTGCTTGTAGAAAACTGGCTAATAAATATAGAATCATATTATTTAATGCATTCTAGCATATATGCTTTCAAAGTACTCTACCAACAAAGCACTTCACCAGCCATTAGAAAAAAGTAAAAAATTCTCTTAGTTGTGCACTGCCATCCATCTAATGTGGGGAATCTGCAAAACTCTTGTTTCTCCGCCAGCACAACACAATCTGCAACTCAAGAAAATTCACAAATCCTTCAATACTGATTGATATGCACGCACAAGTGCATGTGTGCCTGCACACACACCTTTGCTAAATTACTTATAGATTAGCCACCCGTGTAAGTTCTCGCAGTCCATTTAACATAGTTACAGAGCACTTAAAAAGTAGGTGCTGGCATCGTTGCACCATCAAATGCACAACTGAGAAATTTCAGGATGATAACAAGGGGGGCATAGTCTTATTAGGTGCCAAAAGAACAAGATGAAAACCCACTGATGTACACAAAAACACTATAAAGGACACGCTTGTGTCTACACACAAGATAGAGCAGACAGCTGCAAAAAGATTCATGCACCGAGGGATTTTTTCTGTTTTTCCTTGTTCACAAGGTACATGAAAGTGAGATATAATATAACAAGTCTGTTTGCAACACAATTCTTTTGTGAGGCTGGTAGTAATTTAATCTCCAAGAACAACCTAGTTGAAAGCAACTCAGTCTATAAGCAATCATGCAGAGTCTTTCATGATTTATTTCAATTGCTTGAATAGAAATCCTATCCCATCATCTATGATCATACCAGAATTTCTATCAGTGTTTATATCAATAACCAAAGAGTTCTGAGATTTGACACGCCTGCATAATTAGAAACAAGATTAAATAAGGATACACCAAAGAACCCGAATGAAATAAGGCCAAGATCGCAATTTTGTAATGGTCATACGTGTAGAGAATTATTCAAAAGGAACGAAACAAGGATTCCCAAGAACTTAAATATGTACACGTAGTTGCCTATCATATATTTTGCATAGGACCTGTAGTCTTAGCTATAACACAGCCATGGGATATGATATTTCGTAAAATCAGAAATAAACTAAATAAACTACTTACAACGATTCAGCGCTGTCAACACTGACTGGTATACAAACAAGATGAACATGAACAAGATCCCTTTAGTTGTCTTACTCAGCTGGAAACTCTCTCTCTTTTTTTATGTTGCAGATGAAGTTGAAACGTGTGTACAATCATCTATTCCAGTCCTCTATCAAGATAAATTCTACATCTGCATAATAGACAAGATTCTAAGCAGTCTACAACAAGTTTCTGTGTAAAATATGAAACTTCTTAAACAGAAAGCTTGAGAAATTACAACGATTATTGACAATTGCACTTCCAATGAAATCAATCAACAGATAAGTGGTGAAGTTTCCTAGATTATGTATCTTCTATCTCTAATAGGAAAACTAAAAAGTTCAAGGTGATCAAATAATTGATTATCAAGAATATCAGCTACTCATAAAGATCTCATTCACATCAAGAGAAAAGTTTGCGTCTTGGAATTGGAATATAACAATCTTTCAAGGTTAGATGATGTTGGATAGGCAAGAATCAACTTTGGTTCTGCGCAGCATCCTCACAGCGAAAAAGTTTAAGACAAAGAAACAATCACCAATTAGTGGAATCCTACTAGATCCAAGTCCAAAACGGACATAGCGCTCGATGTTTTGTATGGCATATGAACACATACAAGCCAGCAAATTCCGAGGATAGCAAGCAAACTTTTCTTTTCAAATCTTCTCCATGGCTATGACCTCAGCCTTTTAACAATGTCATCACTCATCAAGATGCAACCATGCACACATAAACATCAAAAAGAAAGGGGAAAAGCCAAATTGAAGCATCCAAAGAGAATCTTGAAAAAAGCCCCACAAACTCACTACATATACTCCATCTCCACTAAATCATCATGAAACACTAATCCTAAAAAACCCGACAATTTCCTCTAAAAAAAAAACCCCACAAAACAAAAGAAACAAATTAAACACATAATACAAGGTAAGGGAGATATATCGAGAGGGAGAGAGAGTTACCGTGCACAAATGATAATACAAATTGGAGTAGATCAGTCAGAGTCATAGTATAAGTATTCAACTTCAGCAGAGGACGAAGAGGAAGAGGCACGATCATGATGATGATGAGCATATGAATGATGAGGATGGTCATCATCATCTGATGATGTGGATTGATAAGTATAAGAAGACAAAAAGGAATCAGGTGGTGGCAAGCACAGGAAAGTCCAGATGTAAAGAGAAAAACGGCCCAGTTGTTGAAGAGGGAAGCAGCAAACGAGATCAAGAAGCTGGTGACTGCTCACTTGATCTTGTAACCCCATGCATGCTATTTGTTGCCATACGTCTGCTGATTTATGGGCTACTGATAACACAATCAAGCTGCTAAACACCATTTTTCTTCTTTCTTTGATCTCTGAACTTTTTTTTTTTTAAGACAGATTTTTATCTCTCTCCAAACTGTCTTAACTTTCTTTTTTGTTGCCTGTAACTGTAGCTTTGGTCTGGGTTTTGCTGTTACTCTCCTGTCTTTGTTTGCTGGTAGTTTTCAATCTCATGTTGCGATTTTTTTTTCAGATTTAAAAAGATTAGAAGATTGGAAATTAGTGGTAATGACACATATATGGATTTATTTTTTTACTGCCAATGGTCATAGCCAATTTATGGAGGGTCAATTTCCTTGGATTGACAATCAAAGTGGGATTAGCTTGAGAGCAAGAAATATCGTGGACATGGATCCATTTGGGACAGTACAAGGCTGTTAGAACTGAAACCCAGCTAGTTAATTTTGTAAGAAAAAACTGATCCCGTGGAATTTATTCTTGATCTTTAACAACACCGGACACACCTTGGAGGAGCAGTTCCTCTTCATCAGTGAAAGTGTTGAGTAAATTGTTCCATGCTGCGAAGCTTCATGTGAGTTGTGATCAGAGTACTTCAGAGAAACTGAATTATACGATATTGCCCTTGTAGTTTGGACCAAGGAAATGGGGTCATAATTCAAGGCTTGACCTTTGGTTATATATATATATATATTAAGATTGGAATGTTGGGTGCCATAGTTGTGCCTGTCTTCTCTTCCGTGTGTGATGCTAACCAAAGGTCAAACCTTGAATTATGACCCCATTTATATCTATTATTTTAATATATTAAAAAATATTTTTATAAAAATACTTTGCGTTGTGCTATAAAAACGTAAGTACAAGGTTTAACAGTAAAGCCAGTAGATCACATCTGTAAACCTTGGATGAATCAAACGCACATAGAAAAAATGAATAAAAAAATCTGTGAGCATAGTAACTGTGGGCATCAAAGACTTTCCCGTACGTGTCGCTCTAGGTCTATCTTATATTTCAAGAAACAGGCAGGGAAGGTTTTGATATTGCAGTAATTTTTCTATATCTAATTTATAAAAAATTATTTTATAAAAAATTATTTTAATTAAGGTTAGTTTGATTTTTGTATATATTTAATTAAAATTATAATTAAAAATAAAAAAATAATTTTTTTTAATATATTTGGTTAATAATACTTTTCAAATTGAGATTATAAAATGAATAAAAAAAGACATATATTAATATTAATAATTTTTAATTGAAATATCGTAAATTCAATTACTGTTATTACATCATAAAATAAAAATAGTTTATATAAAATATTTTTTATTGTTTCATTAAATTATATTATGTGCAATTCCATCATTTACAAAATCTATCCGATAAAGATTATAACTTATATAATTCTCTAAACATACAACAATATTAGGTAAAATATTATTAGAAACAAAATTGAGATTACTATTAAATTTTATAAATATTACATCATTATACAATCTTTTTCTAATTAATTATATAGTATTATTAAATAATATTAAACACTAATTTTTGAAAAATACAATTAAATATAAAAAAAATAATTTTTTTATTTCACTAAATTGGATGAAATCCAATACATTTTCATTCAATTATCAACAATGAAGACAGCAGAAGAAAGAGAAACATCTTCAACTTATTTTTTATTACCCTGCATTTTAAATGTAAAGTATAATAAATTCCACAAACAATAAATCACATTTAATAATTAATTAAACAGTTTATTTATAAAAGCAGAAGTAGCACAGGAAACAAAACACTCTCTATGGCATAAAATATTATTTGCTTTCTCTCTGTTCCGTCATTTTTAATAAAAAAAATATATAGATAAATTGATTTTTTATATACTATTTCAGGTGTAAATAGCTTGTGTAAGATTGAATCTTGAGATATAATTTGTGTATTGTCATTGTTTTTTTTTTCTCGAGAAATATTAGATCCATGTCATATTAGTTTTATTCTCAAAAGTACCTTAGATATTAGTTTCTACATAAATATAATTAATATAAAAACACATTATTCATCACCGAGTATAAATTTATTTTTCACACCAAATCAATGCCAATTAAATTTAAAAATATTTTCTGATCAATTTATTTTTAATAAATACTAAATCTTTTTTTGGTAATTTAAAAAACACATTATTCTAAAAACATGATCCCAAATTCCCAACACATAAAACTTGGCTCATTTCTTTTGAAGATTTTTAAAACCAGAAAATAAAAAAATAAAAAAAATATATCAATAATATTTTTTTTATTTTTTAAAAATTATTTTAAAAATTAATACATCAAAATAACTTAAAAATATCAAAAATATATTAATTTAATTTTTTTTTTAAATTTTTTAGAAAGCTGTTTCAAAAAACACTCCCTTGTGCCCTTAGTGGGTGGGCTGGGTTCAAGAGAAAATGGAAATTCTTGGGCTCTGAAAAATTCTCAAGCTTTCCTCTTCCTTGCAGAGGATAACATCATAGAAGTAGCAAAAAAACAGAAAGCAGCATAAGCTAAGCAAAGACAGAAACAAATGGAGGCATTGAAAATATGGAGTCTGTCTTCAAAGCCATTCACTCTCAGACATCTCCTTCACTATGCTTCTTCCAGCGCTTCTGTCACCACCACCAAACACTCTTATTCCATTCATGTCTTTCGCTGCTGCTCCACCACTTCCACCACCACCACCAGAACTGCAGGCCGCAACCGCCGCCAGTCCTCCTCCTCCTCCACTTCTGACCGTGATGCCATTCGTGCCCTTCGCTTGAAAAAGGTTTCATCTTTTTTGGTTTTGTATGTGCCCATTCTGTGTTTCTTGGTTGTTTTAGTTTTGTAGTCAATTTTGGTTACTGGGGTGGTTGTTTTTTCTTTTCCTTTTCTTTTCCTTTTTTTCTCAAATTTAGTGTAAGGATTCAAATTTTATGCTTTCTTCAATAGAAAAAATAATTGGGATGTTGACATTCTCTTATGAATTAATCATTTATAGAAGGATGCTGGATATTTCTTTTTTGGTTTTTGTGTGGCAATTGAATGATGATTAGTGGTGAATTTTAAGTTTCTGAAGTTTGGATTCAAGGACAATGAGCTTGTCTAAGATTTTATTTTGAATGTTTTGTAGGTTGAAGAATTGAGGAGCAAAGGACTTGAGCCCTATGCATATAACTGGGATAGGACTCATACTGCCAATCACCTACAAGAGATATACAGATATTTAGCGAATGGTGAAGAGTCGAACGGTGAGAGTGATCAAGTATCTATTGCTGGGAGAATTGTTGCGCGTAGAGCTTTTGGAAAGCTTGCATTTCTTACTCTTAGAGATGACTCTGGGACAATTCAGGTTTGCTGATTTCAGTTTGATTCGAAAATTTTGTAAGATTTTTGTTTTTCACCTTGCAAGTTGAGCATAAGCTAAAATTATTAAGTCCTTTTGTTATAGCTTTACTGTGAGAAGGATAGGCTTTTGAATGATCAGTTTGAGCAGTTGAAAGCACATGTTGATATTGGTGATATATTGGGTGTGATTGGCTCAATGAAGCGCACAGAGAAAGGTAACCTTTTAAAGATAGGACTAGCTTCGGTGAATGCTTTGCTTCCTGCATTCATTCTTGAACCTTGACATTCAACTTACCTTATCAACATCTTTCTATGATCGTTTGTTTGCATTAGTTAAACTTCATTTGTTTTCCTGGTTAATCCTTCAGGTGAGCTCTCTGTTTGCGTGAGTTCTTTCTCGATTCTTACGAAATCTCTGCTTCCACTGCCAGACAAATATCATGGTCTAACTGATGTAGATAAGCGCTACCGTCAAAGGTAAGGAATGCTCAATTTCTTTTTAATTTGGGAAACACTGCCTGAATTTTGTGACGACAAGGTAATGTGATCAAGAATAAATTTTCCTATGGACAACACTTGATAAGTCGTTTAATAGTAGAGTTAATAAAAAAGTCTTGCTGGGGATCTTATTACTATGTGAAAATATTATCGAAAGGGTCTCCTAATTGCATGACAAGGTAATGAGACATTGAAATGATATAAGTCTGTTCATTTATTTTTCCATTTTATATTTTTTATTCATTTTTTGTTATTTCCTGCACTCATATCATCAATGTTTAGGTATGTTGATATGATCTCAAATCCTGAAGTTGCTGATGTGTTCCGTAAAAGAGCAAAGGTGATACTTTTCACCGCTCCATGTAAAATTTTCCCTTCCCTTCTCTTCATGCATTATATTGTTGAAATTGGAACTGAAAAAATGCAAATTTTGTGATTCTTCTCTGGATTCAACACATGGTTGCTTTTGCATTTCTCGATCATCCCATTTTATTATCACTGGAGTGAGACTATCTCATGCACTGATTTTGTCGATGCCATGCATAATAGCTTAAGATGTAATGATGCTACTCTTTTTTTTTTCACTTTCTGTTGGCAGATTGTTTCAGAGATTCGCAAGACTGTGGAATTGTTAGGTTTTGTTGAAGTTGAGACTCCAGTTCTCCAGGTTCATTGCTATCCCCACAGTGCTTTTTGGTCTTGGCATCTTTCATCTGATCATCTGTTGTTTTATGGGCAAGATGCAATGTATTTTATTTCGTGTATTCAAAGTTGATTTTGTTTATTGTTGAAATGACATCCTCAATTGATAAGCCTAGACTACATGGAAGTGTTTTCATTAGGTGGCCGCCCAAGTGTGATAAAATCCTAGACTTTCACTTTCAAAGCTTAAGTGATCTTGATTAGATAGAGACGGGGGTCTGAAAAAAATCAGGTTCTAATGCCTTAAGGGTGAAAGGGCACCACTGGAGGTTTTTGGGGCAACCCTTGTATATTTCAAAAACCCTTTTAAGAATGATGAATTTCGCCTGGAACCTTTGCAAAACCAACAGTGGAAAAGCTAAGGCTTGAGAAATCATTAGGTTTGGGCTGGTCTTTGATTAGCATAGAGTTGTGATTTTTTTTTTGTTTTACCTTTTTAGGACTTTTGGGACACTAATTGCACATTACATGGTGGTGTTTGCCTTTGTTGTGGTTTTCATATGGGGAGAGAAGAGGGTTCTCCTTAGAAATAGACTTCACATGTATATGCTGGTTTTGTTTTTGATGTGGGATTTAATTCACTTTGTGTGCTGTTAAGTTGTAAGCTATTGTGTATAGGAAAGAAAAAGGTTATCTGGTAAAAGGATGAGATCTGCTCCTTTTAGTTTGTTGCTAAAGATATGCATGTCTTGTGTAGAGCATGTAGGGGGGTTTTGGCAACACAAAGATATGGTGAAGCACAAGGTTATTAAACTCGTGAGTTAACTCGTAAAATCTAACGATTTACGAGTTAACTTGTATATACCATGTACAATCAGGTTAGAAACTCGAAAATCAACAAACTTGGTCAAACTCGCTCAACTCAGATCGAGTTTACGAGTTTGACAAACTTTTCAACTCTCTGTATATTTGTTAGTTGACAAACTCTTCAACTCTTTGTTGATCACTGTGTCCATCTCAAACTCTTCTATATCCTCAGTCATGCACTCTGCTATAGACCCCTTGTTGCAGATTTCTTGAAAAGGAATATACTCAAATATCAATAAAGAAGGAAAGACAGAAGAAAAACACCTTGGAGGTCTAGAGAAGATCACCGGAAGCAACACGGTTCCAGTTACGAGAGACAACAATGCATCATGCCACCCTGTGTGCATCAAGTCCCTACTAAGCACATCCAATGGGTCTTCACAAAGGGGAAGGCCTCCTTCCTCTCTCATCTTCTTTCTTTGCTTTCCTTTCCCATTCCTTTCCCATCGTCTCCATTGCTAAAGCCAATCCCTCATCCATATCCTTACTGTGGTTCTCCTGAAATTCTTGATTGTTGGTCTGTGCCATCGAAGTGGAAGAAGAAAAAGGAGGAGGAATGCGAATCATATTTGAATTTTTCCTTTTTAGTAAAGTTTTATGTTTTCTTTGCTGTTGTGTTGTGAGAGTGGGATTCTGCCCAATCTCACTGATTTACATTGCTTTGTGAATAAAAATATCAATTAGGAAGGAAAGACAAAAGAAAAACACTATGGATTGACTTTGTGATTAAAGTCATAGAAATTGATCCTTAATTATTTTTTAAGTTTTAATTAATTATTTTGAATTGTTTTAATGTATTGATGTTAAAAATAAATTTTTAAAAAATAAAAAATATTATTTTAATACATTTCAAAGTTAAAAACATTTTAAAAAATAATATTTATCATATTATTAAACAATTGCTAAACCCCACACTAAGTTATTATTTACTACTTGATTGAAATTGTTAATATATAATTAATTAAAATATTTTACTTATGATTTTACGATTTTATGATTCGAGTTTACGATTCGAGTTTATGTTGTATATTCTGTGTCATGTCAAAAAAGTGTTTCTGACAACCTTGGTTAAGCATCTAGTAGCTGAAGGTTTTTGCTTGAGATTCATGTACTTGGTTTTTATTGTTAAAAATTGTTTTGTATCTTTATGTTAATGAAAGTTGTGAGAAAGGAGATTGGAAAGTTGTTCTAAAATTTCATTTCATATTCTGTTTCCTTTTCTTTTCCATATTGTCATTGATACTCTCCATATTTATACAATAGTCTTTTGTTATTGCCTGAAATATATTATTAGTTTTTCTTCTACTTTGATGTTTTGGAACTTGGTTTTTAATTGATTTGATCTACTAGGGAGCAGCTGGTGGAGCCGAAGCTAGGCCATTTGTGACACATCACAATTCACTTGGAAGGGATCTCTACCTTAGAATTGCAACTGAGCTTCACTTAAAGAGAATGCTGGTGATGTTATACTCTTAAATCGTGATTACATACTTCTCTAATAAAAATATTCTATTGGTAAACTTAGAGAAAAAGGGGAAAAAGGGTTATCAATGAGGTGGCTATAACAGGATCCATTGATTTAGAAACACATGACAGTGGATCATTTACCATTCATCTCCTGTAGCTTCACTTTTTTTCAGAGACTTTAACACTGGATCGATTTCCTGCTCATGTTTATCTGTTCTCCTCTAAGGGACAGGAAAAACCTCAAGTGCATATATATTCTTCTTTAATTGGTAACTTTTCTTCAGCTTTACTTAACAAAACTTGTAACTTGTAATGTCAGGTTGGGGGATTTGAAAAGGTATATGAGATTGGCAGAATTTTCAGAAATGAGGGTCTTTCACCGCGTCATAATCCTGAATTTACAACAATAGAGGTAATCTCTTGGTACTATCATATCCAATCTATTTCTGTTGCAAACTGTATGCAATCCATTTTGATGTTTTATTTTGTTGAGTGAAGCTCTGATTCATATTGATATTAGCTTGATCATAGATGTATGAAGCATATTCGGATTACCAGAGCATGATGATCATGGCAGAGGAAATTGTCACTCAATGTGCTCTTGCTGTTCACGGCAAGCTTACCCTAGAATACCAGGCAATGACACTCTTGCAATATGAGTTCTGCTGCTGAGTTTATTTTATATGTCTCCATGAAGATACTTCAAAAACCTATGCAGGTTTTATCAATTTAGCACTTAATAACATCTCAGAGAGACTGGTTTTAACTCTGCAAAACTTTTGTACTGCTTCAATGCAGGGTGTAGAGATTTGTTTAGAGCGGCCCTGGAGGAGGGAAACCATGCACAATCTTGTAAAAGAAGCCACTGCTATTGATTTCATTGATTTGGGTGATGATCTTGAAGTAGCTAAAGATGTCACCATGAGGACTCTTGGATCTGGACTTGAAGGTAAAGACAAATCTGCCATTGCGGCATGTCCTTCTGTTGGGCACCTCGTTAATGAGGTAAATATGTTTTTACTTTCTTCTTTCAATTATATTGGCAATTTGTTTTTTCAGCCATTTTCCAGTTGAATGCTTCTTCTGTCTTTACACTTTTTTTGGCGAGTTCTGTCTTCAGGCTCTTCAAAATGCTTTATTGCTCAAAATGTTTAGTCTTTTGACATGGGTATATTTATTATATTTTATTTTACATGATATCTTTTGCACATTCTGAAGATTATCATTTAATTTATTTGGCCAGCTTTTTGAAATCATTGTAGAGCCAAAGCTCATGCAACCCACATTTGTTTTGGACTATCCTATTGAGATATCTCCTCTAGCCAAGCCACACCGAAGGTACAAAAATTTACAAGCCAATGATGCAACTGTTGAAGTTCTTCCTTTTCCAGTGTTATAAAGCATACGAGTGTTTGTCGCTCAACTATTCATACTTGAACTCCTGGATGTTTTCTTGGGAAGTTATTCTTTTAATTCATCATTATACTTCATTGACTTGGACTCCAGCATGAACTTGGTGTGGAGCAGAAGCATATTGGTGCAACCACTCCTTAATGTAATATGCACTCTTTGCATGCATGGGGCTTTGTATGCTGAGATGAAAAATTTAAAAATAAAATTGGTTATCATAAATGAAAAGACAATTGTTACAGTTTTTTCTTTAATTCTTTTTGGTAATCTGTTATTCCTTTCCACAACAGGCATGTAGGCTTGACCGAGAGATTTGAACTATTCATCTGTGGTCGTGAAATGGCGAATGCATTTTCTGAATTGACTGATCCCATGGATCAGGTAACTTAAGTGCCAGCTTACTATTTTGCTCTCTCTAATCGCTGCTGCTGTTTCATTTTTAACAATTGTGTCAGCTTACTATTTTGCTCTCTCTCATCGCTGCTGCTGTTTCATTTTTAACTATTGACCTTTTCTGACATTTTTGGATATTTAATTTTTTTTCCTGTATGAATTATTTCATTTTGTGTTTCAATAAATGTCTTCTTGGACTCTTATAATTCCATTCTTGTTATTTGGTTAGCATATAGATGACATAAAGCTTCATTAAAAAGAGAAAAACAAATAGTTTCATTTCCATTATAAGACAAAAGATAAGACTGTTAATTTTAAATGGTGGCAGAGAGGACGCTTGGAAGAGCAAGTGAGACAGCATAATGAGAAGAGAGCTTCAGTTGCTTCAGAAGCAGATGGTGTAGATGGCAAAAGCAAGAAAGACGATGATGAATCGTATGAAGTAACCCTTGATGAGGACTTTTTAACAGCTTTAGAATATGGAATGCCTCCAGCTTCAGGAATGGTATGGCCATCTCTTTTGTTCTATAATTTTCTTTGTATCTATTTTTACAAGCCAATCGTGATGGAAGGAAATGGTTTTGTCCCAGGGACTCGGAATAGACAGACTGGTGATGCTGTTGACAAACTCTGCAAGTATCCGAGATGTTATTGCTTTTCCCGTCCTCAAGATTCAGCAGTAGATTCAATAAAACGACTTGGTGGATTGGCTATGGCAATTTCACCCACCTTCTGGGCATCTGGCATCAACACGACGGACTTTGACCCACTTTAGCTGTGGTCAGACCAGGAGCAGGCAAAACCAGACCTTGTTCAAACTGTGTTGGGTGCAAGGCTGGTTGCGAGGTTCACATGCCTCGTCATCCTCACCCATATTTTGACTATTTAATTTTTTTAAGACATTACCATTACATATTGATCACAACGATTAGATTGATATTGTTTCTCAAGGCATTGAACTGTGTTTAAACCTCATTTTTAAAAACAAGAAACGTATCAAAAGCGTCAAGACTGATGGCCTCGGATTATCAGTGGCAGCAGCAGTACTGAAAGATAGATGGACCTTCCAAAAGATGCATGCATTTAAGCATTCCTATTTCGAATGGCAGTTCAATTAAAAAAAAGCAAAATATTAGAAAAAAATTCGAAGGAACTGTGCGCCGCTGCAATCACAAGGTTTTTAACGATTGGTTCTGTTAATCCAATAGCTCATGTATGTTCTTTACGAAAGATCCTCTGTGCAGCCGTGTGTTTATACACTCCATTAGTCTATCTCACCCTGAGACTTTTGACAAGTTTTGAAGGTTCTAGGTTGGAAACAGTCCACCTTCAGTTTCTTCAGTTCATTTGTCGTGCCAAATAGAAGACCATAGTGGGGATTCTGTAGGGCACGGGAGAAGCCGAAGAGACATAAAAGAAAAGTAATCAATCATTTATTGTAACTGTAATAACTACTAAGTGGCACAAATCACACATAAATAAGGGAGGAAAAATTAAAGTAATGGCAAGGAAGAGAGGAAGGTGGAAAGTAGCGCAGCGATCGTAGATGAGGGTGATAAAGTTCTGTATTCAGCGTCTGGAAATTTACTAATGAACACACTCAATTATACTCTCAAGCTATCAGTCATAAGAGGCTTTCATTTGATGCTGGACAAAGACATGCTCTTGTGAGACCATAAAAAGTTCTTTTCTTTTTTGTTCAATATTTAGTTTTCTCTTGATGTGTTGGGATTCATCTTTATTGAATTTGAGGAAAACCCATTTGAGGATTGATTGTTTTGATGCTAATTTTGTGGATAGACGGTGTGTTTCTTCTTGAAAGTCTTTATCTTTATGTATATATAATTGGTTATGATGATTATGCTTTTTGGGCACATATGTGATACGATTTTGGTTTAACCTCATATCAAGTTTGCTAATTTGTTGTTTTGTCTAGAGTGAATTGATTGATCACTGTGTTTATTGAATGACATGAATGATGTTTTTCTGTTCTTTTGGCCCCTTGTGCATTATTTAATGTTTGGTGTCATCATGGAAGTTCAAAGCTATGGGCAAGTGTGGAATAGCAATGGTATTTGAATGTTCATAGTTAGAGATCGTATTTTGTTACAATGAGAAAACTCCTAATTATCATGATCAAATAAGAGAATAAAGCTTTCCATGTTGTTATTTTTATGGTTGCAGAACGCTGAAAATCATATTGAAACTTGAATGGTAGTTCTTGGTTCTCTTGATCGCTTTCTTATCCGAGGAGCGAGCAATTGCATTAAATTGGATGAACCTGAGATTGATAGCAGTAAAACCATGGAAAAATAGTGGTGATGATCTTTTCAGGCTGAGATTGTTCAACTGGAGTTCTCACAAGTCTCCTCTATTTATCATGGGATTATCATGATAGGCTGCAGATGAGTGGTCCTGCAGTATCATCTGCATGATTGTTGAGATCTACATGATTAGCCTTATTCAAGCCATTGGAAAATACAACATCCCTCCACTGTTATTATAAATCATCCACTCAGACATTACCATTTGTTTTCTTCAGGAGAAACTGAGTACTGGATGGCAGTGAAGCAGCAAGGCGACAACAGAAGACATCTCTGCCTATCTGCGGGTTTCGCTATGAGTTTTTACTTGCAATCCTTTCTGTTACACTTTAGGAAAAGCACTTGGTTTTCATTTGAAGCGTTCTTCTGACCTGTGGAATTTTGATTGCTGAACATGGAAGTAACTCTTCATTGACCATTCGTCTCTCAGTTTTTATGGCATCATA